CGCATTGCGAAGGCAGCATCCGTCCATCGGGCTATCCCTTTCACAGTGCCTTGAGGCAGCAGCGGCGAGAGAAAAAAGTCACTAAATACAACCACTCCAAAAACGACCTTGCTGAATTCTTCAGCTCATAGCTTCACCCATTCTAGGAGGAAAGCATCCAAAGGTTCCCTGGTGAATGGATGCATATCGGTGATTATGATAATGGTTATATTTTTGATCAATTGGTTTTGGAGAACTCGATGAGAAGAAAGTGTCGAAATTCGGACAGGAATTATGGGACAACCCAATACACTGCCAGGGCACTTCTTTCGCTGCAATGCGTGTCAGTCCGCTTCCCTACGAGTCCGCCTGTCTTTCCACCCGTTAGGTTTCCCTTCTTCGACCTCCGACGTTGTCGTGGAATCCTAATTCAAGCTATGACGTAGATGTTCCAACAGTATGCAGTCTACTGACCATAAACGCGATTATGGAAATTTCAAGTGCTACACAGAATCGTAAGTAAAGCGGAAAGCTGAAAGCTGAAAATTAATTTCAGCATGGAAGGTCATCCGGAAGATCCTTTCAAAGCAGATAGGAAACACTGAATGTCGATCACGGTCTATAATGTTGATATCACCTGGAAATAATCACTGTACCATTCGATTAAATTCATATTTGATGCTTCAGTCATTTTTGCATGATTAGTATTTCTTTTCAGATGTTGAATGAATAAATAAATTCTCTTCGCATTTTCCTGACTCGACAGCGAAAAACGTCCGCGAGACGAACTGAGGTCAGAAACAGTAGTCAACAACACAAACAAGTCAAAATCATTCGCTAAAGCTTTCATCCTCGTGGCGCACTGCCTGTCGGCTAATCGGCTACACGTTATGGAGCGTTCATAGTTAGCGATCGTACGTGCGATTAGGCGATTAGGCGATGATTCAAAAAGTATACGTATCGATAAGGCGATTGGCGAGCAGGCGAGTAGGCGATTAGTCGATAGGCGAGTAGGCGAGTAGGCGATAGAGAAGGATACGTATTGATTTGTTGCTCCGCCCATTGAGCGATCGCCTAATCGCCTACTCGCCTACTCGCCTACAACGTTCTATGGGCGGAGCAAACCAATCAATACGTATGTTGTCTTCCCCGCCTAATCGCCTACTCGCCTGATCGCCTACTCGCCTACTCGCCTACTCGCCTAATCGCCTAATCTATACGTATATTTTTCATTATAGACTAATCGCCTAATCGCCTAATCGCACGTACGATCGCCAACTCTGAACACTCCATTATACGCATGAGTGCTGATAAGTTGTAAACGTATCATGGAGAGCTGAGTTAGTGCAAAAGCCCCGGTATCGTAACTTCTAGCGTAGCCCCGGTAGCGTAACTTCTAGCGTACATGTCCGGTGAGAGGTTAGAGGTGCAGGTTTGAGTCATGCCTGAGGCAAATGTTTTTTTAACCCAGCATTCTTGTGAAATCTAGTGACTAGTATGACGTTATTATGGGAAAAAAGCTTGCTATACCCAGTGGGTCCTGTATGTCGTGAACAGCACCCGTTTCCGAGACGACAGCACCGGTGTATAGAGCGCTCAACCGCACGCACCGACGTTAGTCGGCTCCATTCGGAGATCAAGGCCTAACCCTTGCAGGTGAGCGGACCAATCCTTCGGGGACCTTGGGGATCCTACCGCCGTGCACCATACACGGACCCCTACGCGAGCCACCGCTGGCTCCCCGCTATACCTGCACATGACAACGATAACAACCTCATGATAGACAGCAAATATGATAAGGCAAAGGCCCGTGGATAACATAGAGCACATAATACATAAATATTTATTATACGCATTAACTCACCATTACTCCGATCGTCCCTTGGCCATAGTCTCAAAGTTGACCGTGCTGCTGACTGCACGTATTTAGACCCCCATCGCCGCTCGGCGCTAGTTAAATCACTGATTTCTATGACGCACCTTACGGTCGGCGTGTCCTCGCTGGGGCATGATGACAGGCTGCTCCCAGACGGGGAGCAGGGGTGGAACACGACCGGTTTTGATATGACAGGCGCTCCACCAGCATGGACTCAGGGACGACGTGCCCCTTCGCCTTACAATTAGCTGGCCTCATCGCGCCGTGAAACCGACCTGTCACCGAAGCCAGCTTGGGAAGAGATTACCGTTCCAGCAGGGACGCTCAGTCTCAAGGGTTGCACTATTAATCTTAAATGACTACCTGGCAGCTAGGGCAGACAGCGTGGGACGCGACCGCTCAGCGCGGTGATAGTAGGCGAACAATGGCTGGCACCGACCGTAGGGGGCGGAGCCAATGACGCAATGGGCGCATTGCGCGGAGCATTGCGCATTGGCATCCGAGCGCGAATGGGCCGGGGCGCACGGTGCGCCCACGGGCAACCGTCGCATCCGCGACACTGTATGTGAAGTGTTGTTCGTGATAAGGAACCTCGATAACCTCCATAGAAAAAGTTTCAGCAAAAAAAATTGACCCATCACCCCCCAATGAGGTTGTAATAGTGCAATAGCGCCTATTTATGTTCCTAATTTCAGGCTGGAGCTCTTCCACGGCCATCGCGAATAACAGACATATCCAGCAGTCCTCAAACCTGCTTTTCAAGCGCATTTCATGATTGCGCTTATGGAGCAATCTATTTCGTGAATGAGGTAGCTGAGCGCATTCAAAAAGGAGTGCGAGTGTCGTTGCTCGAAGTCTGATGAAGGGCGCCAGGGCTTCGCTTGCCTAATTACGTATGGTTGTGGCGCGGCGCTTGCGTACTCTCGTCCGACATGCTCTCTCACCTGTACACTTTCCGGCGCAAAATGCCTCTTAATTATGCGCAGGCGCCTTGAAAAAAACGGAAGTCTCAACTTCAGCGTTTGAGGCAGTTAAGGAATCTTCCACGGAAAAAGCTCCGCCCTCATTACCACAGAAAACGATACCTTAAAGGAATCTTCCACGGAAAGAGTGATCATTTTGTCTTGTGTGTAGGATTAGTATTATCGAAACTAACGCTTATGTTCCGTTCTTTTTGCTATGCTCATGAGGCTAGGGGCCTAAGGGGTATCGTTTTTCTGTGGTAATGGAGGCGGAGCTTTTTCCGTGGAAGATTCCTTTAACTTACCTTTCTTTCTTCACTGGAACTCCTCTACTACTAGCTCGCTACGACTTTGGGGTGTGACTTGAAAGGCGAAGAGAACGATGGATCCTGCCCATGTATAGTTAGTTCCCTGGTGAATCTCCATGAGGGAACTATAAATAGGCAGCAGTGGAAGCAGAAGCCAGGCGACAAATGAAGCGAGGTTTGCGACGAAATGTGTAGTTGCGACACAGTAAGGCTCCGAACCTGAATCCGGCATGCCTTTAGAACTGCTCCGCCACCTAGTATGGTTATTGGGCTTGAAATCGTTATCACCCTCCATTTTTCATTTTAACGGTGTGTTTAGCATCGTACGGCCATCTTGCGACCTTGAGTCAGTTACTCCATCCCAGCGCACTCATTGGAACAGTTAGCATCTATGCCGTAAATTCGCTCAAACTAGATCATGGGTGCTAATTTTCGGGTTGACGGCTTCTTCAGGCTTCCTTCTCCACTGTCCAAATTAGCTGAGCAGTTTCGGCTGCGTGCGACATCGCAAGCGTCACTCCACTGTTGAGGAAATACTACTTGTGAAGGAATCCTAACGCAAATTCGCGAAGCGAGCTGTTTTTTTTTATTCTTTTTTTCCTCACCCATACGAGCCAGCCAGTCCACTACCGTACACCAGCTCAACACCCGCCCACTACCGGTACACGCCCCACAGCACTCGCCCCTTATGACACATGCCGCCAACAGGCTGTTTTAACACCTTATCCGATGTCATAGTTTGCGAATCGAGCGATTCGCTAGCGAATCGCTCGATCCGAGCGTTGCGCCAGCGAATCGAACGTTGCACCAGCGAATCGAACTTTGCGCCAGCGAGTCGAACGATGTACCAGCGAGTCGAACTAGGTACCAGCGACTCAATAGTGGCGGGACCCAACTTTCAAAGGAAGCCCGCCACCTTCAAAACAGTGCCCATGACATGACGCGTTGAAAGTGACGGCTTCCTTTGAAAGTTGGGTCCCGCCACTATTGAGTCGCTGGTACCTAGTTCGACTCGCTGGTACATCGTTCGACTCGCTGGCGCAAAGTTCGATTCGCTGGTGCAACGTTCGATTCGCTGGCGCAACGCTCGGATCGAGCGATTCGCTAGCGAATCGCTCGATTCGCAAACTATGACATCGGCCTTAGTGATCTTACCCATGCTTTCCCATCATTATCCTGGTACATCGACTCGCATCGACGACACAATGCAACACACATTTCCATTCATAATTCTATTTCAACTTATTTGTTATACGACTGCTCTGTGGGCTTACGAGACACTTAGCCTTGAACGGCCACCATATTATCGTTCTGCTTATTACCAAGAAAGCAAGGGATGATTCTAAGCTCTGAATGGAGCACGTTGAAACAAGATATCAACCCTGTTATCAGTCACGATCTTCAATCTTGTTGAAATCAACGCTTATCACACAAATGCAGAAAATCATAATGCTTCTCATTCTCAGCTGTCCCTTTGTTCCCGGTGGGTGAGTAGTTCCTCTTTCTCGAATCCTCCTTGTTCATGTTGCAAATATTGCATTGTCCTGCTTTATCGAAGAATCAAAGGACTTTTCAGCTAGTTCCCCTTCATCACGAGTCATTCGCTTGAGCTTGTTTGTTGGGGTAGCCATTGTGCACACCAGATCTTCTGCAACAGCAATATTTCGTTTGCCTTGTATATTTGCGTACAAGAAAATATTGCTTGGAAACAATTATGACCATTGGAGGACCAACAATCGAGCTTTCTAATGGCGAAAGGATGCCAAGGGTTGGACTAGGAACATGGCAGGTAAGTTACTTTTCTGAACGGCCACAGACACATCCACGATCAGCTGACGATATATGGTTCCTGCTGTGGAAAAAAGTCTTGCCATAGACGAAACCTGTGGACCATTCGCATCGAAGTGCTGCACAAAATTACCTCCTTCACTTATCAACGTCGCCCATGTAAAGTCGCGCCTCGGGAGATTAGGAAGGTAAGCGACAGGATATTAGGATAGTAGTAGAGTAGAGATTGCGCTGACAAGATTGGATACGTATCGATTGAAATCGCTGGAGAGTAGTAGATTGGGCGACTTCAAGCGAATAGATCAATACATATCTAATCTTGTCAGCGCACTATCCTAATCTACTATTCTAATCTCCTGCTCTACTACGTACTCCTACAATCATAAACAACGCGCATCACTAACTCCTCCAGCGATTACACATCGATATCAAACTCCATACCACGCTTCACATCAACTTGAAAGAAACGCCGAGGGAGAGAGGGTCCTGGACCTGGCTACGGCCCACGATCTGGCAATCTGCAGCACGTTCTTCGCGAAAAGGGAGACTCAGAAGGTAACCTACAGCAGTGGAGGGCGACAAACGGAAATCGACCATGTGCTGGTAAGAAGATCATCCCTCAGAACTGTGAAGGATATCAAGGTACTCCCTGGCGAAGAACTGGCTCCCAGCACAGGCCCCTCCTGGCAGACATTGCCATAGACCTCCCCAAGAAGACAAGGGTAAGAACCGAGAGGAGAATCCGGTGGTGGAAGTTGCACCGAGCAGAGAAGAGCGACCTCAAACGAAGGATAATGGAAGTTGGTCTCCCAGATCCTGAGGGACCAGTGCAGCAGACTTGGGGCAATGCAGCTGAGATCATCCTACGATGCGCCAAGGAGGTACTGGGCGAGACGCGAGGTGGATTCAGAGGAGACAAGGCAGCGTGGTTCTGGAACGAGGAGGTCCAGCGAGTCGTGAAGCAGAAGAAGGAAGCATACAAGCGCTGGCAGAAGACCCGGAGCCCCGAGGACCTCGCTGCCTACAAGAGTTGCAAGAGGCTCGCTAAGGCTGCCGTCGCCAAGGCGAAGAACACGGAGATGGACGCCTTGTACGAGAAGTTGGAAAGCAGAAACGCAGAGAAGTTCGTCTTCAGACTGGCTAAAGCCCGGCATTGAGCTACTAGAGCAGCAATGGCGTGGGGTGGAAAGAGTTCTCCAGAGGACTTCTGAACGAGGAGTTCCCCACAAGAACAACTCACGGGCAGAGGCCACAGCTGGTCCCATCGCACTCTGGACAGAGGATGAGGTTCGGTGTGCACTTGGGAAGATGAAGGTTGGAAAGGCGGTTGGTCCAGATGGAGTACCATCGAGGCTTGGAAGGCGCTCGGAGAGTACGGGTAAGGTGGCTCACCCGCTTCCTGAACACGGTAACTGCCGAAGGAAGGATGCCGGATGCCTGGAGAACAAGTACTATCGTCCCCATCTTCAAGCAGAAGGGTGACGCGATGGACTGCTCCAACTACCGCGGGATCAAGTTGACTGCGCATACCATGAAGCTGTACGAGCGACTGGTCGACTCGAAACTGCGGGAGCTGGTCCCGATCTCCCAGGAACAGTTCGGGTTCATGCCCGAAAGGTCTACAACGGATGCCATCTTCATCGCAAGGCAAGTGATGGAGAAGTATCGAAAAGCGCCGACCCTGCTACCTAGCCTTCCTCGACCTGGAGAAGGCGTTCGACCGGCTACCGCGAGCAGTACTATGGAGATCGCTCAGGGAACGGAAACGTGCCAGAACACCTGATCTCTCTGGTGAAGGACATGTACGATGGGGCCAAGGCAGCTATACGCACCCCACACGGCCTAACGAAGGAGGTGGACATCACGGTTGGGGTGCACCAAGGGTCAGCTCTGAGCCCGTTCCTCTTCCTCCTAACACTAGATGTCCTGGTGAAGGGGCTCATGGAAGGACCACTGAAGACCATCCTCTACGCTGACGACATCGCCCTGATAGCGGATAGCAGAGAGGAACTTCAAGCCAAGGTGCAGAAATGGCAGAAGTCCTGGCAGAAGGTGGGCTCCGGCTGAATGTCAAGAAGACCAAGTTCCTGAGCTCCGAAGAGGGTATAGAGCCGATCGTGGACGGCCATGGGGAGACCATCCGTAATAACTTGGAAGACATTCCGCTACATTGGGAGCAATCCAGCAACCGACGGTTGTATGGATTAGGATGAAATAGAGGGAGTTCACTGGAATCCTCTGGAATCGAAAGTGCTCCAGAGTGCTCAAGGGGAACGTGTACCGGACACATGATAAGCCTCAACTGCAGCATTGGTGGCTTCTGAACAAGAACCCGCGTAAGGCAGCTTCATTCTGCCGAAATTAGGGTGCTGAGATGAACCTGTAGGTGGACGCAGCAGGAGAGGGTCAGAAACAAGAGATGTCAGAGCGGTCATGCAGACTGTCCCTGTACAGCTGAAGGATACGGGAACAGCGTGTGCGATGGTTACGGAGGCCACAGGTACCATCTGATAAGAACGGCGATAGACTTCAAAGAGCAAGGCAAGCGACGGTCAGAGGCTCCAAAGAGAAAGTGGAGAGACGTAATCGAGAAAGGCCTAACAAGGAAGGCCTTTCAAGGTGTGTCCAAACTTTTTCAAAACGGTCTCTCGCATGATATAGAGGGAAAACCACAGAACTATGGTTAATTTTTCTTGAACGGTCCTCTGAATGCCAGAAAAGGGGGTCCCTAGTCACACATTTTTCACCAGTTTTTTCAATCAAAGTCTATTTGTAAGGGTTACTGACGGTCCTAATCATGAATATGGTACTAATTATTCATGCTAACTCCATTTTGCGCGAATTTTGAAACGTCAACTCGAAATGCAAAAATTTGTCACCACGAGGAATCGAACTAGGGACCCCTTTTCTGGTATTCAGAGGGCCGTTCAGGAAAAATTAACCATGGTTCTGTGGTCCCCATATGTGCCCCAATATCATGCAAGAAACCGTTTTGAAAAAGCTTGGCACACCCTGAACGACCTCCCTTGTAAGTGAGGTGACGGCCGCAGCAGAAGATGCCCTGGTCTGAGTGAGGTAGCGACACTGACAAGGGCAGCGGACCCTGCTACTGCGCGGGACTAGGGAAATGAAGAAGTGCTTCGTTATTGATTCGAATCGTTTGCTTTGCGTCCAGTGGCAGAAGCAACTCGGGCTACATACCGGGAATGGGTATAAGCATGTATTGGAATGGGCTCTCGTGACCTTTTCGGGAGAAGAGCGTACAAAACAGATGGTAAGTGACACTAGAATAGAGGCCAGGAGGGCGAAGAATAAGCCAAGAAGAACACAAGTGGCTCACATCTCCCCCTCCCTTCCCCTCCTTGAGCTTACCAAGTACTGTAAGCGATACACTAATTTGAATGTCTCCTCCCCCCCCCTCTTTAGTTTACTAGCGCCTCTCATTATCAACCTCATTTCAGACATCTCCAGCTGAGATTAAAGTTGCTTTGAATGCAGCTATTGATGCAGGTTATCGCTTGATAGATACTGCCGCTACATATCAAAATGAAGAGGCAATTGGTGAAACCCTCAAAGAAATGGTACAAATTGGAAAAATTACTCGCGGTGAACTTTTCATCACCACCAAGGTACGACCGCTGCAAACATGCTGCTATTGATTAGTTAATGAATTTACATTATAAAGTACGATTCAGATACTATATTGCATTGAAGGCACGCCCCAGGATCAAACTGGTGTCATTCTCGCACGAAACTGGAAACAAAAGGGGTGCGAAGCA